TGGGCAATGGGTACCATTATTATCATCATTTTACAGTTGAGGAAACTGAGGCAAACAGAAGTTAAGTGACTTGTCCAGGGTCATATAGATACTAAGTGTCTGAAGCTAGATATGAACTCAAGTCTTCCTGATTCCAGACACAACACTCTATCCACTGTGCCACCTAGCTGCTTAATATTTTAGCAGTCCTCATGATTTAGGCTGGCACACACTTGTTAAGCCAGTGAATGACCTGAAAATGTATAGAGACACATCACATATCCCACCAAAATCAATCAGAAACTACAATAGCCTGCTAGGGTCTAGAAGGCTGAGGGCAGAAATCTGAGTTTGGTATTCACAGTCACAAATCTGTACCTTTGTAGAAGGAAGGAGAAGGAAGAAAACATTAATTTCCTCCCCGTTTTTGGGCACCTGACCTCAGGGTAGGCTTTTCAAGCTCTCCTGATTTTTCTTAGCTTCTTTGTCTTTTTTTCCACCTCAGAACCTACAAGTCTTCTAAAAGGTCTAATGATTCCCATCTTTCTTCTTCCGTGACTCCCCATTCCCTGTTTGAGAATCAACAACTCACCTAAGTTATCACTCCAGGATTTTTCACACCTCATTGTCATCTTTCCCTAACAATCAGTAGTATAGCTTCAGCACATTGCAAGAAGCCTAGCCAAACCTGGAGATTCTTGCTCCATTCTGATTTGAGGATAGAAGGATGGCCATTTTATGTACCACATGAAATTTTACACTAGACTGAAGAAATGAAGATGTCACATGTCACTTCTGAGACACTGCCAAGTACTGCCCTAGAGCCAGGCCCTAAGCCTCACTGACAGCTCTGAAATGTTTTGATCTTGTGAGATAGTGCTCTATATCTAATGGTTATATTGACTACATTTTCAGAACCCAAAATCGGAACCAAGGACAGTTCCTTTGCAAAGCCTAAATAACAGCATACCTTTTCTTGAAATTAACATATCAGAAAAATCTAGGCTATATGACCACCATTTTGTTGTCTCACCTGCTCAATGACCTCACCAGCCCAGCCCCACTGCTGCTGCAGACAGTATGAACAAGGTCTCTTGACCTTGAGTTCCTGGAGGTCCACTCAGGAGAGAAATGGAATAGGGAATATGAGTGAGCAGTGTGAAGAAGAGAACAGTCAGATGTCACCAAGTCTAAGCTGCAGTATTCTGTAAGGATTTATTCCATGAGATAGGATGATAAATTCAGATAAGATATGTTGAAATCCAATCCAGGGACCATTTGTTAAGTGCCTTTTAGGTAGAAGGAACCATCCCTAGGTGCTAAGGATACAAAGACAAAATGAAAAACAGTCCCTGCCCTGAAGGAGCTTCCCTTCTGGTGGTAGGATAAAACACATATAAATATATACACTGAAAGCTAATGGATTGCCCATCAATTGGGGAATGGCCAACAAAATTATGCTTTATGAATATAATGAAATAGTATTGTGCTCTAAGAAATGACAAAAGGAATGGTTTCAGAGAAACCTGGGAAGATTTGTATGAACTAATGCAGAGTGAGGTAAGCAGAACCAGGAGAACAATTTATACAATAATATTATAAAGAAAAACAACATTGAAAGACTTAAGAACTCTGATCAATGCATTGACCAACCAGAATTCCAGAAGACCAGTGATGAGAATGCTACCCACTTTCTACAGAGAAGTGATGGGTGTAGTACATCAAACGAGATACACATTCTTGGATCCAGCCAATGTGGACATTTATTTTGCTTGATGATGCATATGTGTCAAAAGAGTTTTATTTATTTATTAATTTATTCTTCTTTTAGGAGGGTGTGGTGAGGAAGGAGGAAGAAGAGAGGTGGGAAAGAAAGAAAATAAATGCTTGTTAATTTCAAAAATAAAATTTAATCTTAAAAATTATACACATGATAATTCTAAAAGGAGAAAACAACATTTGGAAAAAAAGCTTTCTCATAGAAGGACAACATAAGCTAGAACTAGGAGGAAGCTAGGGATTCTAAGAGGAGGAAGTGAGGAGGGAATAAATTCCAGGTATTGGAGACAGCCTGTGCAAAAACAGAGGCAGGAGATTAGATCAGGAACATAAGCTGAGCTGCTAAGTTAAGGTTAAGGCATCTTAGTAAATATAACAGAATTGGAGGGATATCTAAGAAGCAGCAGGGGGGAAAATGCTAGCTTGTTCAAGGATTCCTGAGAATAGTCTGCTTTTCAAGGCTTGCAAATTTGGGACTGATGGATCAGATACAGATAATAATCAAATAATATTTCAGCTGATCTGTTGTTTTCTAAAATCCAGATAATTATTTGATGTGCCTGGGACTTTGTTTTGGTATCTAGTTGATATAATCAATGCGAATAATTATTTTTTTAACTTCCATGAGTCTGAAGGGCTGTTCCCATAGTTTTGGCCCTTTGAGGTCAGATTTCTAATACCTTGCATCTTATTTGATCATGCTGATGATGCAGCAGAAACAACAATTGTTTCTTGATTCCCTAAGTCTTTTCTAATCATTATAGGATAGCTTGTTTAAATTTGCTACAAGTCCAATCATGTGTTTTAAATCAGTAGTTATGTGCTCCAATCAGGTAATTTTCCCTTTGTTGGAATTCTCTTGATTAGGGAGTCTTATGGGTAATTGCTGGGAAATGTGTCAGACTTGTAGTTTATAACAGGTGCATATCCAAATAAGACCAATCAACGCCCAGCTAATTGCTGAAGCCATAAATTATAAAGACAGTTACCTTAAAAAAAAGATTGAGAAATTAAGATTTCTCTGCCTTTTTGTTATAAGCCAGTGGTTCGTAAGCTTTATTGTGCCATGGACTCTTTTGGCAGTGTGGTAAAGCCTATGGACCCCTTCTCAAGATAATGTTTTTAAATGCATAAAATACATAAGATTACAAAACCAATCATACTGAAGCACAATTTTCAGAATACAGTTTTCAAAATACTAATAAAACAAATAAATTGATCCTAGGTTAAGAATCCCTGCCAAATCCCTTGAAAAAGATTTGGGCAATATTGGGTGCAGGAAGATGGTGCAGTGTCAGACTGAAAAACGGCTGAATAACAACAACTGGGTGCAGGAATCTGCCTAGCACATGCCAAACTGGGAAGGAGAATGATGACAACTCATACTTAGGGCTTTAAGCTTTATGAATCACTTTCTAAAGATAACCCCAGGAGATTGGTATCAAATGAAATAACGTATGTCAAATGCTTTGCAAATGTCAAATTGTTATGTAAGTTGTCATTTATCATTATTACCAGCAGGAATGCAAATACTATTATCTCCATTTTACAGATAAGGGTACCAAGGAAGTGGTACACTTGGGGCTTGACCTCATATCCTCTGACTCCAAGTCCAGAGTTCTTTCCATTTTACTACACAGTTTTTGTTGTTATGAAGTCATACTCATGTCTGTCTCTTTGTGACCCCATTTGGGCTTTTCTTGGCAGAGATACTGGAGTGGTTTGCCATTTCCTTCTTCAGCTCATTTTATAGATGAGGAAGCTGAGGCAAACAGGGTTAAGTGACTTGCCCAGGGTCACACAGCTAGTAAGTGTCTGAGGCTGGATTTGAACTCAGGTTTTCCTGATGCTCTATCCACTGCACCACCTAGCTGCCCACACAGCTATTTTAAGCAACTAATTCATTTTATGAATATGTGTACATGTCTATTGACATATAGAATTCTCTTCCCTAGGCTTCTTTGCGGTAAGGCATATGTCTGAAACCTATAAGAGACACTGCAGCCATGTGGAGCCATCGGCCCAGCCATTTGTTGAACCTGTCCCTATGACTGAATTGACTGCTTGGTTATTGGACTGAATTTGCTGGTCATAGCAGTTAAACTGTGGAACCAAGTGACTCAAGTAGATACATTTATTTAGAGGACTCTCTATTACCAAAGATAACTCCTTGGGTTTTTTTTTTTCCTGTACTCCATTTATCTACCAGTGGGGGGGGGGGTGGAGATAAATAACACATGAACCAGCATTAAATTTATATTCCCTGTGATACTGTAACAATTTGAGAAAGTTCTCCAACACATTGGAGATATTCTTTATAAAAGTATTATGGAAAAGACATGCATAAGAATTATACAGGAGGAGAAGGTATTGAGGGATTACCATCTGTATCAGTAGAAGGAATATTCACATCAGTGAGATCACAGATCCATCTAAATACCTAATTCATTGGAAAATAGGGTATTATTCATCGGATGTAAGAGGTGCGTTTCTTGAGTTAGAAGTTGTATACTTGCAAAGAATCTTAAGAGACAATGTAGTCTAGACTTGTGCCCTCTGGCAAGACAGCCCTTAACCATTCCAAGGTAGCACAGTGGATAAAGTGCTCTACTTGGAGTCAAGAAGACCTGAATTAAAATTCTGCCTCAATCACTTACTAGCTGTGTAACCATGGGCAAATCACCTAATCTCTCTCACCCTCAGTTTCCTTATCTGTAAAATGGGGATAATAATGATATTTGCTTGACAGGATTATTGTGAAGATCAGATGAGACAATATAAAAAAAAAGTCCTCTATAAATGCTAGCTACATTAGCTATCATAGTAATAACAAGCTACCTTGTTTTAAAGTCATCCAGAGGAGATTCTATAACTTTCCCCTAAGAACCCATTTCACTGTTTAACAGACTGGAAAATGTTCCCTAAAAATTCCTCAGGCTGCACCTTAACAGCATGTCCCTGCTTAAGGTTTAATTGGAACTGTATTTCCTTCTTGACGTCCTCTCACCCCCTACATGGCACTAGTTGCCTCTTTCTGGAAGACATATGGGAAATGGTTTCCTTCATGTGGAAATAGTCTCCGTTCTCCAGCTCAGAATATCTACGTTCTAATAACCTGGGGCAGAAGATGACAGTGACAATCCTCTCTGAATGCAATCCCATAACCTTCAAAAGTCTCCGACTCATCAGAAAACTGGCCAGCTTTATTTGACAATAGCTTTTTGGTTTTTGCTTGCAGGGTGTACCACTGGAACCACAAATGTTGAGCAAAAGATGAAGGAAATAAGGGACGTTAAGAAGGATGGAAAAGTAAGAAAATGGCAGCAAGCGGACCTTGGTCTGCCCCAGAGGCGAGCAGAGGGTGATCAGACAGTTTTCAGAGTGCATAAAGTAGTCAAAGTATTTTCCTTCTGTAAAAGGAACAACTTGCTATTAACCGGTGGAATGGATCGAATAATTCGAATCTGGAACCCTTACATTCCAGGGTAAGGTTTCTGACTCCACTCTGGGACATATTGTATGCTGCTAGATCGACAAAAAATAACCCTGGAGTTTCTTAAGTAGAATTTAAGTATCTTGAAGAAGTCCCTTCAGCAGCCAAAAATATCTCCTTACTACCACTCAGTTCTTCATTTTATGACCACTAAAAATTCAGCCTTTTGAGTTAAGAGCTCTTCTTTTAAAATGCAAGTATTCCAGCAAGTTTCTTCAATAAACATCCATTGTTTGTTAAGATTGTACCCATGAAGAGCAAAGTGCTAGATGCAAAGATGAAGAAACAATATAATCTTTTCCAGTCATTTTTTTTTCAGTTGTGCCCAGCTATTCATGACCCCATTTGGGGTTTTCCTTGGCAAAGATACTGAAATGGTTTGCCATTTCCTTCTCCAGCTCATTTTACAAATGAAGAAACTGACGCAAACAAAATGAAATGACTTGCCCAGGATCACATAGCTAATAAGTGTCTAAGGCCAGATTTGAACTCAGGAAGACTCATCTTCCTGACGCCAGGCCCAGCACTCTTTCCCCTGTGTCACCTTCCTGCGTAATATAATCTTTACCCTCAAGGAACTTACAATTTAATAAGAGGGAAAAGACATGTTCATAGTAATAATGTTATGTTCATCCCAATTCTGTCTCTTACTAGCTGTATGATCTAAAAAAACTCACCTGATTTTTCTGAGCCTCAGACAAGTAACTTTACTTTTCTAAGCCTCAGTTTTCTTATTTGTAAAACGATAATGTCTATAGTACTTACCTCACAGGGTGAGGTCTAAGTAGGATAATGAATGTAATGTGCTTTGCAAACCTTGATGTCCTATATAAATGCTAGTTATTGTTGTTATAAGTATTTTCATACCTATTTTGCAAACAAGGAAACAGATAAAATGACTTGCCCAGGACCACCCAAGTGGTAAATGTATTAACCAGAACTAAAACCTAGTTCTGCTACTAAGACATGCCTGATACTCTTACAGTACAGCATGCCACCCCTGTATGTCTGCCCCCATAGCTGAACTATGAAAAAGGCAAATGGGAGGTTTAGAAAATGTACTGCAAGAATTTGGGAAGGAAAAGGTCCCTTTCAATGGTGAGAATGAGGCAGATAACTTCATGGAGAGAAGTGGTGCCTGAGCTAAATACAAGTGCAGAATTTTAAAGGAAGACAGCTTAGAGGAAAGTAAGGGTTTCATCAGATAGAGATGTGGAAGGATGCATCTCAAGCAAAGGGAATGGCCTCTTCGAATACACAAAGACTGGAGAGGCAGGATAAAATTGCAAAATAGCGAGGAATCTAATTTGGTTAGAATATAGTCTGTGCAAAGATAGGGATGCAAAATGAGCCTGAAAAGGTAGGTTGCAGCAGGACATTAGGGGGCTTGGGGAGGGGTATTTAAATGTCACACTAAGGAACTTCTATTTTATTTGGAAGTAATAGGGAGCCACTGATGGTTTCTGACCACAGAAGTAAAATCACATCCATGTACTAGGAAATTGCTCTGGAAGTTGTGTGAAAGATGAATCAGAGAGGGGAGAGACTGGAAGCATGAAGAGCATTTATAAAGCTATCCTGATAATCCAAATGAGATGTAATAAGGGTCTAAATTTGGAAGGTGTCTGTGAGATGAGGAGAGGGAATAGAATCAAGAGATATAACCAAGGTAAAATTGACAGCACTTGGCAATTGACTATATGTGGGAAGTGAGGGAGAAGGAAGAATCAAAAATGACTACAAGATTTCAAGTCCTGGTAGGTGAGAACAGGAAGTGCCATCCACAAAAATAGAGAAGCTGGTAAAGAGGCAGATTTGGGGGAGGGAAGATTATTAGTTCAGTTTGGACTGGGTTAAATTGAAGATGATGGCTGGACATCCAAGGGGAGCTGTCCATCCAGCAAGTAGAATTGTGTAATTGGAGCTGGGGAAAAATCTGGGTTGCATATGAGGATTTTAGAGCCATCTGCATAGATGTGATCATTGAATCCATTGCAGAGGAAGAGTTCACCGAAGAGTACAAGATCAGGAGAAAAGAGGCTTGAGGACAGAATCTTGAGGAATAAAAGACAGGAACTTACTTTACTTAGGGAGTAAAAAAAGAAGAAACAGCAAAATATAACAAAACCAAAAAACAAACAAACAACCCAAGAAAGAACAGTCACAGAGTTAAGAGAAGCACCAAGAGAAAGCAGTGTTAAAAAAGCCAAGAGAAGGGACAGTATCAAGGAGAAGGAGTTAAGGATGTTGGAGTCTATAAGTCTTTCATAACTCAGTGCAGGTTGTTTTACTCAGTCTTGATTTTCTCCTAACAATGAACTGAGATCCATTAGGGATGAGGGCAATAATACTGGGGGAAAGGAGGCAAGAAGAGATCAAGGCTATAAAGGTAACATTTGGAGTATAGCACTTCACAGAAAGAGCAGACTAGGTGGAGCATCTCAGCTGGGGTCAATTACAGACAACGGGAAAACATTGCAAAGCTGAGAACCCAAAGATGGGAGTAGAAAGAAGAGGCAGGGAGGTGACAAAGACAAACTTTATCTAATTCACAATTTTGTGAAGGTCAAACTCTGAAGACTTTCCCATGTTCCCAATCTCAAATGAACTTAAGAATCCCTAACTAAATAGGACTCTATTTGACTGAGTATTACAGAGGTTTAGAGGATATTACTAGGCACTCCCCTTACTCAAGTGCAATAAGTAAGAATTCATACATCTATATCCAAAGATTCATTCCCTGGATAGTGCTTCCATGGATTGTCCCTGAGATCTTATTTATCAGTAAGATCTTCTCTTTTCCCCTGGATTACTCTTGTTCATATCTCTGGGTCACCTGGGTCAACTGGGATTAGTTCCATACCTAGTCATTGAGTAGGGTTGTTCAGCTTTATCTGGGATAATAGCTTACCCATTTCTAGAATGAATCAAAGAATCACAGAATTTCAGAATTGGCAGGGACCTCAGGATAACAACAACAACTAACATTTATATAGTGCTTACTATGTACAAGGCACCATACTAAGTTCTTTACAATTATCTTATTTGATCCCCACAACAACTCTGGGAGGTAGGTGCTATTATTATCCCCATTTTGCAAATATGGAAACTGAGGCAAACAGAAGGTAAGTGACTTGCCCAAGGTCACATAGCTAGTAAGTGTCTGAAGCCTGACTTTAATTCAGTGCTTTCTGACTCCAGGCTTGGCACGCCATCTGCTACTCCACCTAGTTCCCTCAGAAGTCATCTCTAGTGTAACCCATATCTGAAAAGAATCCCCACTCCAATTTACCTGACAAGGAGTAATCCAGTCTTTGCTTAAATGCCTTCTGTGGCATAACTAAATGATATCAAGCTGTGTAGCTACACAGACTAATATACCAGAAGGGGGTGAAGTGCCAACGGCTCTCCCTTATTTTGTTATTAGGCTCCCATCTCCCCACTGGGAGTCATTAGGGTCATATCCTCCATGAGTTTTCATCAAGAATAGAGCCGTACCTTTTGTGTATGCCACCCAGCACCTGTGTGAACAGCAGGTTCTCAGTAAATGCCAACTAGTAATTTGCTAATTTATATCTAGTGAGTCTTGGGGGTTGGGAAGAAAGGAGAGAATTCTTTGATTCTATAAATTGGTCTAGAGGGGTGGGTGTAGGTGGGAACAAACAAGTACAGCTTTTGAAATGTATACAAGTTGCAGAGATTTTAAGTTATGTCTCTGCATCATGCACCCCATAGAGCAAGAGATGCTTGCTACTCCCACTCTCCCCATATTCCTCTTCTGTTAAGTTCCTGTTTGCCTTTAATGCAAGGCCATTAACTTACTTCCCAGCCACACAGTCCTGAAAAGATTCCTTTCATCACTCTTTTTATCCTCAGTGAGGCACACCCCACCTTCCCACCCAATCCATATATCACGATATCATTGAGAACAGTGCAGCAGCATGTTGGAAACTCTTGGCAAATAACTGAACACATCTTGCTCCGATGTCCTTATTTCCACTGGCATTTTCTGTTGCTCTCTGAATACTGTTAACACCTGCCTTTGTGAAGTTATAACAACCTGTTTTGGAATCCAGCCCAAACCAACTGTCTCCTCTCTACCTCCTGGGCCTTCTGCCTTTTGTAGCAACCTTGTCCGTGGTTGGAGCAACAGAGCTCAGGGCTTCGTCTCACACTGAGTTATGTTGCTATAACTGGGTATTATCTGCTTCAGCCCTTTTATCCCACAGTGAAATATACTTGAACCCTCCTCCAGGCTGAATAGAAGCACCAGATCAGAGCCAAGTCCAGTCTGATGTTTTCATTTGGAAATAACAGGTGAAACTTCAACCCAATTGTTTGTTCTTTTTTACATTCTAGAAAACCAACAGGCATGCTGAAAAGCCACCTAGCTCCAGTGTTTTACCTCCACATCTCAGCAGAGGAGAAGAGAATATTTTCGATGTCCACTGACAATACAGTTAAGGTCTTACCCCTTTTTATATTACATGTAGTAATGTAGTATGATTACAGATCAGCATCTGTGTTTTATTGTCTAGTTCTTATCTGTTGTCAGCTTTGGGGACTCTGTAGCAATGTAAATAAATAGCACTTGAAAGGGAGGGGTTGTGGAAGGGAAGCCCAGTTGGCAACTGGAGAATGAATACCATGGGGCGTCTTAAGTTTGGTGCATGGAGGTGGCTCTCAGGGCATTTTGGCATAGACCTCCACTGCCCAAGGAAAAGAAGAGGCTCTTGCCAGTGGTTGTCTTTATATGTTGAAAGCCAAAAAGGGCATCTTTTTGAGAATTTGGCCCCAAATTTAAATATACCCATAATTGTTAAGGATCCCCCTATTTCATGTTAAGGATTCCCTTACCATTCCCAGTGGTGAGTGCTCTCTGCCTCTGGTATATAATTTGTATTGCCATAACTATATATTTGCACATGCATATATCTATAAACACACATATATACATATATGCATATATATGTATTTAGCATGTATATTTGCATAACTGTATATATCCCTCTGGTATATAATTTGTATTTGTATAACTGTATATTTCCTCCTAGAAGGTAAACTTCTAGGAGGTTGTTTTGTCATTCTTTCTATCTTCAGCACCTAGGACAGTGCCTAGCACATTTAGGAAGCTGACCAGTGATTTTATGGGTGAGGGAAATTCCCAGGATGGAAACAACTTACAATGAAGCAGATCAGCAACTTTTCTCTAATTTACAGTCTTAAGGAGTTGCCCATGGTTACCCAGATGGTACGGGGCAAAGGTGGAATTCCAACCTAAGTCTTTAGGGCCCAACACCAAGCTCAGTTAGCCATGCTGTCACTTATGAAAAATGTAATAACTAGCTAGTCAATAAGCATTTATTAAATGCCTACTATGTGCCAGGCATGCGCTAAGTGCATTTAATGTTTGTTGAATCAATCAGAAGTTCAATGTGAAGAGACGTGAAAAGATGAGGGACTTGCCGTTGGAGGCTTTTTAATTTTATTTTAACTCTGCAAAAGGCAAGAGTCTTCTATCATCATTTGACCCTGATTTTAAAAGACGCTGCTGTTATCTTGGGGATTATAATGACAGAAATAGCACCCATCATTATTCACTTGGTGTTTGCCCCTCACTTTATATTTCTGAGTACAGGAACATGGATTTAGATCTAGAAGGGACCTTATTTTACAGATGTGGGACCTGAGGTTCAGAGATATTAAGTGACTGCCCAGGGTTATATAGCCAGTATATATCAAAGTCAGGACTTGCACCCAGGTCTTCCTGGATCATAGGCAAGCTCTCTAACTACTGCACAACACTGACTTTTTTTTTAGGTAATTGGGGTTAAGTGACTTGCCCAGGGTCACACAGCTAATAAGTGTCTTAGGCTAGATTTGGATTCAGCAATTCCTGACTCTAGGAACGGTGTTCTTTATCCACTGTACTACCTAGCTGCCCCACCACATTGATTCTTACAGAGATTTGTCAAAACAAGAATATGTCCTCTTCAACATAAAAGAGTGAGACAACCTCCTAATGGCTTCAGAAGTCATTTCTAGTCTAAAACTTACCTGGAAAGAATCCCTCCTCCAACATACCTGATTAGGAGTAATCCAGTCTTTGCTTTAATACCTCCAGTGAGGGAGAACTGTCCTAAGAGTTGCCATAACTAGACAATGTCAAGCACAGTAGCCACACAGTCTGCTGTACCAGAGAGGCACATCACCATCAGTCCAGGCCATGTGAAGTGTTCACCAATGGAAGTTCTGGGTTTATATCATACTTTCTCTATACACTCCTTGTTACCTACATTAGCACATGTTTGCGATATGGTTAGCCAGGATTAGGAGTAGGGCAGTCACAGGAAGATTCAATTCAACATATATCAAGTTGTATTACTAGGTACTGATAAAGATATGATAATAAATAAGACCTGAGAGTCTAGGAGGGAGACATGATGAATATACAGAATTTCAGAATTGGAAAAGACTTGAGACCATCATAGAAAACCACATACCTGAACAACACCTCTCCCCCAAAATTCATCTGGCAAGTGGCCATCTAATTTTGCTCAAAGACCACTAGTAAGAGGAACCTCTTGGGGCAGGTAGGTGGCACACTGGATAAAGCACTGGCCCTCGATTCAGGAGAATCTGAGTTCAAATCTGGCCTCAGACACATAACACTTACTAGCTGTGTGACCCTGGGCAAGTCACTTAATCCCATTGCCTAGCCAGAAAAAAAGAAAAAAGAAAGAAGAACCTCTCAAGGCAACCCATTCCATTTTTTAATACCTCTTATGATTAGAAAGGGCAGCTAGGTAGCATGGATAAATGTCGGGCCTTGAGTCAGAAAAACCTGAGTTCAAATCTGGCCTCAGACACTTACTTGTTATGTGGCCCTGGGAAAGTCACTTAACTCTGTTTGCCCCAGTTTCCTCATTTGTTAAAAGAGCTGGAGAAGTAAATGGCAAACTACTCCAGTATCTTTTCCAAGAAAACCCCAAATGGGATCGTGAGGAGTCATTCATGACTAAAAACAAGTCATCAACAACAACAACATGATTAGAAAGGTCTTCTTCATATCAAACCTAAATTTTCTTCTTTGCAAATTCTACCTGTTACTCTGGTGTTATCTTAGACTAAGCAAAACAAGCCTAATTTTTCTACCACATTACAGCCCTTCAAATACTTTAATAGAGCCAGTGTTGCGCTGGTAAATGTTTAACAACTGGCTTTCCTGGGTGGGGGGGGATGTATTGATGGCACACTTTGAAACTGAATCAGTGTTATTGACATTTAGACAATCAACAAAACAATCAATGAAGCTTGGATTTGTAGCATTTTGTAATTTTCAAGGTGTAAAGGCTCACAGTGAAAATAGCAATTGGCTCTTGAGGGCTCTAGCACACCCCTGAATATAGCTGTCTTGTCCTACCCTACCCTGCCAAATCTTTTCTTCTATACCTTAAATATTCCCTCTTCCTTCAGCCAATTCCCATATGACACAGACTTAAGGCCCTTCATTGTCCTGGTTGCCCACCTCTGAATGTACTCTAGCTTATCAATGCTCTTCCTAAAAATTGGTGTCCAGAACCAAAAACAGTGTTCCAGATGTGGAATATTGACTAACCCTCACTTGTGGTTGTTTGTCATTCGTTTCACTTGTGTCCTACTCTTCCTGATCACATTTTGTGTTTTCTTGGCAGAGATATTAGAGTGGTTTGCCATTTCCTTCTCCAGCTCATTTTACAGACAAGGAACTGAGGCAAATAGGGTTAAGTGACTTGCTCAGGGTCACACAGCTAGTAAGTGTCTGAGGCTGGATTTGAACTCAGGTCTTCCTGACTCCAGGCTCAGCACTCTATCCACTGTGCCACCTAGCTTCCCTAAGCCTCCCTTAGTCTAGGGCAAGTCTCCAAGACTCTAAGTTTTACACAGGTTATGATTAGCTTCAGTGAAGTATTGACATAAGTGGATTTCTGTACAGGAGTGGTAGGGTAAGATCTGGACCTATGATGAGCCAGATGAGGAAACTACCTCTGAACAGGTAGCAGATTTTTTTTTATTCATATGAATTTAAAGATTCCCCTCTACTGCCCTGGAAGAAATAACTTGATGAAGTAGGAAAAACCCTGGTTCCAGAGTCAGAAGACTTGGGTTCTAGTCTTGCCTCTGACACTACTACCTATGGAAGCTTGGGTGAGTCACCCTCTCTGAACCTCAGATTCTTCATCTGTGAAAGGAGGAGGCTTGGCTAGATGATCTCTAAGGTCTCTTCTGGATCTAGATCTATGATACCATTATTCTATAATCTCACTGACTTTCACGTGGCATAGCTGCAACCTGCCACTGTTTCTCTAACCATGGCACATTCCTTCCCCATCCCCTCCACCCCAGCCAAACCTAATGGACAGAGTGGGAGTGCTTAGCAATAGTGCACAGACTTGGTAAGTAAACTGAGTGGAAGGAGAAGATAGAAAGGGATGCTTATAAACTACATCCTCCCTTTTCCATGCTGCCCCGGGTATATTATTAGTGAATTCAGATACAACAGAACTATGCCTCCCTCCAGAGAAAACTAAACTCAGTGCTGTGGGGACCATGCCTTTGCCCTGCTTTCCAGAGAATGAGCCTGTGTGGAGGAAGGATTGGTGAACTGGATAACTCCAAGAAATCCTCTCAAACACTTATTTCCATGAAGGTACTTTGGTGATTTGCATCATGTTAAACATTGAACTGTCTATTCTAGAGAATAGAGTAGGGCACATGGTACGTACTCAGTATACATCTTATTGATTAATTAACTAAGTAATTTACTTCATCTCAGATGACCAACGATCAGGTCTAATTTTTTTTTTTTAGAATGGTTATTCCTATATCACTTCCTAGTCAGTGGGACAGCTAGGTGGCACAGTGGATAGAGCACCAGCCCTGATGTCAGAAGGACCTGAATTCAAATCCAGCCTCAGACCAAACCCTTGATACTTGCTAGCTGTGTGACCCTGAGCAAGTCACTTAACCCCAATTGCCTCACCCGAAATAAAAAAAAAAGAAGGAAGTCACTCCTGGGCCCAGTCTCTACTACTGGTTGACATGGAAGCTTTGACCTGCTCCATTTTTGACATGGTCTAGCTTGTCTCTCCTTAAGCAGCCCCTGCTCCTGGGGGTTCACTATATTGGAACCAGAAATAGTGTGAACACCTGATTGGCTTAAGCCCTACTGCAGCTCAGACCTCCTGAACTCAAGCCAGCCCCAGCTTCTCCAGCAGCAGGGATTATCGGCGTTATAATCCACTATACCCCCACATGAATCTTATGTGGATGGATTGGACATTGATGTATTCTTTGAGCTATAGGTCCCAATAGTCATCTTGAGTTCCATGCAATGATATTAAGGTCCAAAAGCAGGGTTATTCTCCCCAGTTTCTTGAGGAAAAAACTGAGATATGTTGTTCAGTCATTTCCAATTCTTCATGACCCCATTGGCAGAGATACTGGAGTGGTTTGCCATTTCCTTCTCCAGCTCATTTTACAGTTGAGAAAACTGAGACAAACAGGGGTAGGGCCACACAACTAGCAAGTGTCTGAGGCCAGATTTGAACTCATGAATATGAGTCTTCCTGATTCTAAGCCCAGTTCTCTATCCACTGTGCCACCTAGCCGCCCCAAACTGGGATATAACAAGGCTAAATTTAGTTGCCCAAGGTCACATATTCATTGCTATAGCAAGGAACCCTACTTCCTCCTCAATCTGCTGGGCAAGCGTAACTAATATGGTAAGATTTGCAAACTTTGTTTCAATAAGGATCATTAAAGATTAAATGCATGAAAAGGCATTAACAATTCCTTCTGATTTCAGTTTGAAAGCTTCATTTTTTAAACATTCCAAAGAAGTGATTTTTTTCCCCTACATTGCTTTTGCTCTCCAATCATGAAAACTGTATGTGTGGGTAGGTGTCATATATTCTACTTTATTTCCCGTGTGTCTTTCCATATTTTCCCAATCTGTATCCATCATTACAAGATTAACATCTTGCCTATGATGATTCAGGCACATTTGAATCACTTCCTAAAATTTATTTAAAATACACTGAAATCATATCCTTGAAATATGGTGTGTAAGTTGCTTCTTAATATATTATTCTTATTCAATACACATTAATCATAGAAGGCCCAAACAGCTGAATCTGGCATCTTTGCTTTTTTTAAATTGCTTTTTCAGTCCATATGTTCCACTTTCCTAATTCATGGAAACCCCTTACAAGTGCTTCCTGAGTGCTGTTAGCCTTCTTAAATGTACACACAATTTCTTGAATTTTTAATCTTACTTTATTGTCTTGCAATATATAACATTGATTTTGGAATCAGAAGACCTGGGTTCAAGTCTTACCCGTGTGATTGTGAGTATGTCCCTTCACTTCTCTGGACCTTAATTTCTTTATCTATTTAATAAGGGGAGGGAAGAGAAGGGAAAACAGATAGTCTCTGAGATCCCTTCTAGTTCTAAATCTGTGATCTTGTGTTCCTATTTGGCATTTTCTGGGCCCACAAAAATGCCAACTGAAAAGGAAGCTACCATTTAGGAAAGGGAGTGAGAACAGGAAGACCATTCCTGAGTTGTTCAAATATTGATCTTGGATGTAACTAAGGTTAGTCCCAGGCAAAATTTTATCTTTGTTACTTCCTTTTTGTTCCTTTCTCTGTACCCTTGGTAATCTCTCCTTTGCCCAGGCTGCCCATTGTGACACCACCACATCTCTAGGCCTGCCCTCCCTGGGCCATACCATCTACTCTGAAATGATCTCCCCTCCAATCCCAGCAAAACTCCCATTTCCTCAGTGTTCTAAGGAAAGCAGCTGATGAGCTAATTCATACTGAAGTGTAAATGACTGATAATAATAAAAATAACAAGGTCAATTTATATAGTACCATAAGGTTATAAAGTGACTTAATTTCTTCCTCCCACTGGTAGCTATATTTTAAAAAATGTTTATAACAATTGCAACAAACAGATAATTATTAAGTATCTACAATTCATTCATTCCTCCAAGAAGCATTTATTAATTACCTATATCCAGACACCATGCCAGGGGATCCTAGGACTGCGAATACTAAGGCAAAAATAAAACAAACCCTGTCCTCATACAGCTTACATTCTATTGACTGTGGGGGAATTGACTGGGGGAAATACAAAGTTAGATAAAACTTGGTTCTTGCTTTCAATGAGTTTCCAGTCCTGCACACAGATAAAACGAAAACGCAGATGACAATAATGCACTAGCTTTCCCTTGACACTCCAGTTCAATCACCGATATATTCTGGCCAACTGATGTAAAACATAGCTTCAGGTACTGAATTGAGGACAAGCCAGGGACGGAACTCTAGACTCCCATTCTGCCCACAGGAAGACAACAATGTGATAGTCTGTGTACCAACTCACTGGTTATTTTGAGAGTGCTATATGAGTTAGGAAGCAAAGTGCTATATGACACCTAAAGGGGAGGTTGTTGTGGAGGAGGGGGAGGAGAGAGACAGATCAGGAAAGGCTTCCTGGGGAAGTTGGCATTTGAACTGATATTCAAAGAAAGGATGAAAATTCAATAGGACAAGAAGAGGAGGGAAGGCATTCTAGGAGCCTTGGAACAGCACAAGAAAAAGCCAAGAGTCATGAGAGTATGGTGTGTACTCAAGGAAGAGGTTCAATTAGTTAAGCTGAATCAGAATGCAGAGGGGAGTAATTAAAATGAATATATTAAGTTTTTTTTAAAAAAAATTATATTTTATTTTGTTACAATTTACACATAAAAACAATTTTTAATAAGTTTAAATTTAAACTCTCTCCTTTCCTCCTTCCCTTCTGTCCCCTCCCTCTCCTTGAGAAGACTGGAGATGCAATATAGATTATACATGTGTAGTCATGCAAAATATATTTCCAGAATATATCAAGTTTTAAAAGTCCAGTCTGTGTGAGTCAAGTAGGTGGATGAGGATCCTTTGCATCAAGCATTTCTGGATGGAGTTCTTTACAGAGAAAGAAAGCACTAGTACCCTTATCAGAGTTTCAAGTAGTCAGCTAATTACTTCTTTATGATGAAAAATTACATGTATGGCCTAAGAGATTGCCCAGACTGGATCTTCATCTTGAGTTACCTTGTATTTATTTCCACCTATTCTCTTTATATTTATTCTATAGATACTAAGGCTTGTCCTCTCCCTCTCCCACTAGAATGTAAGCCTCTTGAGAGAAGAGATTATTTAATTCACTGTGTTTGTATCCCCTGTGCCTAGCATAGTCCCTGGCATGTAATAGGCACTGGTTAATTGCTTAATTGAGCTAGAAGTATAAATATCAATACTACCTGGCAGCCTCATCATTTCAAAAAAAGTTTCCAGGATTTGGGATGAAAAAGTGGTAACAAGGATGCAGAGTGAGGTTCTCCACAGAAGATCCCAGAAGTCTGTTCAATTTGCAATGCACAGGAGCTAAGGGAACATTTTTTATTTATTTGAATTTGGGGGGGGGGCAAGGGATTTTATAAATGCAAATTTATGACAGAGGCTAGACCTTCACCTCTACCATACAGCAGATGGCTGCTTTGCATAAGCATGGAACACAATGGGGGCCTTTCCAGGAACAAAGTGCCTGCTTCTGAGATGAACATCCCCTTGGGGGCATGTGGCTCTGAATGACACTTTCCCTCTGTCTTCCCACCCAGGTCTGGGATCTAGAGAACCACAACTGCTTGTTCACTGCCTGCCCCAAAGCCAGTGACATCCAGGGGGAGCTTACAGCTTGTCACTACCTGTCCAACATCAAAGCACTGTGTGTTGCCACAGATTCTGTCTCTCTCCTGCATCTAAGGATGAGGTACGTGACTTGGCTTCTCAACCTAAAGAGGTCAGCTCTCCTACAGAGGATATTGGGTATATTCTGCCCTTCTGGGCCTTCAGTCTCACTCCTGCCTCCCCTCTATCCTTGCCATCATCCCTTAGTATGAAGCCCTATTATAAGCTCAAAGGGATCACCCATCTCATGGCCAAGTGATCCATGTCGATGATAGAAATAACTAGGAATTCTTTCACCTAAGGAAAAAAAAAACAGTTGTGTGGGAATAAAAGGTGGCATCATAGAAGGTAGTTTCTTTGTAAGTGCATTTGCATTGGGGGAGGTAGATCAGTGAGTGTTTTCCTGATCTGCAAGAAGGTTAAGAGGAAAGGGGGTAGGGCTTGGAGAAGAGCATCACAAAAATAGAACCCTGGGGGTGGTTTGCCATAGACCAGTGGAGGACCTTGAAGTGAGAGGAAGAAATATCTTCTGAGAGGCCTCCCTGAGTACCTCCTTAGATACTGACACCCTTGAACAAAACCCAATTCACCCCATGCCAGTTATGACTCTGGTGGGAGGTACTTCTTTGGCTAACTGTTGATGAGAAGAAGCGAAAAGTATCTGATCTGATCTACCGGCTTTTTCCTAATTTTATCTCATGGTCCAGGGATGTTAATTTGCTCCTGTTAGAATAGCCCCAGCAGCCTGACTACTAAATCACCATTGATATTAGTGCATGAAGCTGGGGCCCTACCTAGATGTCAAGAGAGTACATTAAAAAGTGAAAACTTCAGTCAGACAATCTATTCCAAACTATTCCATAGTTGATTGATTTTTTTTTTTGGACCGAAGTGACCTGATTTTAGCATCACTGTGTCACAGACTCAGTCTCCAGTGTCCAAAGTCAGATGCCAGTTGGTGCTTTCATCTCTACCCAAGCTTTCCTGTCCTTATTTCTCCTCTCACTCCTGTCTTACCCCTAACTCTCATTCCACCTCACACCTGCTCTCTTCAGTTGCTCTTCTTCCTCTCTATCTTCTCTCTTGCCCTCCCCAATATTGCTCTGTAGCCCAAGGATAAAATCATAGAGAAGAGCAGAAATGTGCTCTTACCATGTTCCTCTCCACAGAGTGGGGCCAGGAAATCAGAAAGATCCTCTCAACAGAGTGTTTGAGCCTTGATCTCAGTAATTAGATATTAGTACTCAGATCATCATCATCATCATCATCAATCATCATAACTAGCATTTATATAGCACTTTAAAGTTTACAAACACTTTACAGATATGATCTTGTTTTATATTCACAACAACTCTGGAAGGTAGATGCTATCTGTATAATGGGGATGATCTTATCATCCCCATTTTGCAAAGGAAGAAATTGACGCAGACAAGAAGTTAAGTCATTTTTCCAGGGTCATGAAGTTAGTGTCTGAGGCTGGATTTGAACTGAGGTCTTCCTGACTCCAGGTCCAGTGATAGTGTAGAAATTGTGATGGGGCAACTGAAAATGACTCATATAGAATTGCCCAGAGCAGAGGTGGGGAACCTGTGGCTTCAAGGTCCCATGTGGCCCTCTAGGTCCTCAAGTGCAGCACTTTAACTGAATCCAAACTTCACAGAACAAATCCCCTTAATAAAAGGATTTGTTCTGTAAAACTTTCCCCAAGGATATGTCATAGTTTTGTAGGATTTAGAACACCCTTACAGATCATCTCATCCAAAATTCTAATGAATTTAGTGATTCATAAAGGGAGAATGAGGGTGTGGTGATCATGCCCATTTTGTGGAGTCTAGATTTGCCTTCCCATCATAGCCCCACAGACCTGAAAAGAGTAATGTAATGGGAAACTAGATTTACTATATGCTTTACTGAGCATACATAGCCCTGGCTAGTGGTGAAGAATGGATTTGACACAGATACATATCTCAAAGAAATTTCTCTTCCTGGATGCATGTCCTTGTATGTTTTAGGAGACAGGGTGGTATGGTGAGTAGAGCACTGGACTTGGAGTTAGGAAGACCAAGGTTTGAATCTTGCCTCAGACACTAAGTATGTGACCTGAACAAGTAAATTAAATTCTCTGGGCCTCACTTTCCCCATCTGCAAAAGGAGGGGGTTGGAGTCAATGACCTCTTGGGTCCCTTTTAGCTCCAAATCTATGATCATATGATTTGATAAGGCGTTTCCCATTCTCCTCTCTTCTGGTGATGTTCTCAGATCACTCCTACCTCATCCCTGGCTGAATTCCATTTAAACAGTTGAGTCAGCTAGGTAGCAGAGGATAGAACCCTGGGCCTAGAATTAGGAAGATTTGAGTTCAAATTTGGCTTCAGACACTTACTAGCTGGAGAAGTCACTTAAACCCCATCTGCCTCAGTTTCCTTCTTATTGTTCCTGGTATACACATTGACCTACTTTCTCCTTCATTTTCCCATATATACTCCTTGAATTCAACTTCACCCCAAATTCATGTATTTTTCCACTCCTCAACTCTCTACAGGATCCCTTCCATCACTGCTCTATCACCATGTTCTGTATATAAATTGAGTCCCTCTCATACCCCACAATTAGTTCTGGAAAAGAGAGATAATATTAGCTCTTACCTCCAAGGGTTATTCTGAAGATCAGGTGAGATAATATTTGCAAAACACTTAGCACAGAGCCTAGCACACAGTAGACACTTTATAAATGCTTGTTTCCTTTCTTCCTTCCTGAACATCAGTTGTGGATGTCTTATCTGTTGCTATTTGCTACAATAGCTTTGCACATGCCCTGTCTGAGCCCTCTCCATTGTCTTGGTAACTTGCCAAGACTAGAAGATCATTGCTTCTGTTCATTCTTAGTCCTGAGTTTATTTTCTGGCCATCAATCTTTCCTTGCCTTCCACTCATAATACATTGTCCTTATGGCCCTTCTTGTAGGTATCTCTTCATTAATGTCTTCCATATAGATATGGGGTATAACTCATGGGTCAGTTTCATATATAAAGTATTTTATTTTTCTACTTGCCAGAACTTCACCCTCTACCTACCTAAGTGGAACAGTAGAGTCCAAAAGGTCTAATTTCACATTCTGCTTCAGACACTGACTATACCTGTGTGACCCTGGACAAGTCACTTAACCTTCCCTAGACTCAGTTTCTTCATCTATGAAATTGTACTACCTCACAAGGCTGTTGTGAGGATCAAATGAGATAACATATTAAAATGCTTTGCCAAGTTTAAAGGATTATATACATGCAAGCTATTATTAATGATTAAGAGGAGGTGTTTAAAATCATACCTTCTTAACATAAAATTTGCTTAGATATCTTACCTTTCTGGACTGGCATTTTGCTCAAACCTTTTCTTGCTTCAGCCTTTGACTAGTTTTTCTTAGCCAGTATAACACTCTTGGCCTGGATCCCTGTAGAAATAGCTTTTTGTGTATGCTTGAAGTTTTACAAGCACCAAATGTCACCTTGTATCCCTCACAATAGGTTGCTATTCTGTGAGCCTATTTTATGGTGTCAGGAAGAAATTTCAGAGCTGATGTATGGTTGTTAGGAATTGAGAGGCTACTCTGGATGGGGGTTTGTCAATAAGGAACAAATACTGAGGCATAGCTATTGGTGATCACAGTGCCTTTGTCAGGACACGGTGACATGGAACAGTGGTGGGAATAAGAGCTGGTTGAGAGGTATGACATATAACACAGTGATAGAGCAGTGATGGAAAGATCCTGTAGAGAGTTGAGGAGTGGAAAAATGAGTGAATCTTGAGTGAAGTTGAATTAAAGGAGTATATATGGAACAATGAAGGAGAAAGTAGGTCAATGTTACTTGTATTATAGGACCAGCAAAAAGGAAAGTAATTCCTGGATGTGCATTGAGTCGTGATCTGAAAGAGAATGGATGCAATGGAAATGTGGTGTTCCCCTACCTCCATTTTCATAGGTACACATGCAGACATATATAAACACACGTTCTCTGTTTCTGTCTCTCTTTGTCTCCCTGTCTCTGTCTATCTGTCTCTGTCTCTCTCTTCTCTCCCTGTCTCTGTCTCTCTGTTTGTCTCTGTCTCCTTGTCTCCATCTGTCTTGTCTCTGTCTTTCTATCTCTGTCTATATATGTGTCTTTCTGTCTCTCCCCCTTCTCTGTCTCTCTGTCTCTGTCCATCTTATCTCTTTCTCTGTCTCTGTCTCTCTGTGTCTGTTTCTCTGACTCTGTCTTTCTGTCTCTGTCTATGTGTCTGTCTGTCTCTGTCTCTTTAGAAATAGAGACAGTGAGAGAGACAGAGAGATGGAGAGAGACAGAGACAGAGAGAGTGACAGAGAGATAGACAGAGAGAGGGAGACAGAGACACAGAGAGAGAGAGATTGGGGGAAAGGTTATAACTCAGATTTTTGTCTCATACTGTTTAGCAAGTACAGTGTACCAAAAGCATACATTTTCTGTTTCCAGTTCTTCTTCATTCATTTTGGAGGTGGATGGAAGGGTGGCCCAAGCCACAGGATAAATATGATGGTGTGGGAGGAAGCCTCCAGACTGGTTCTGGTTTTCATGACCTAATTTTGTTTTTCCTGAACTAGAGCTCGCCCTGAGCCTCACCTGGTGGTTTCTCACAAAGAGCCCATAGTGTGCTGCAGATACAACAAGACATTTGGACATGTGGTTAGCTGCTCAGAAGGATCTGTAAGTATCAGGTCATTCCAAAAATGGTAACGATATCTCTGAGTGGTGGGACATCTACAGTAAGAGATGTAGGTAGCCAGCATAGACCCTCACAGCCAAGATTCCTCTCAGAAACCTGAGCATGAAGACCTAGTGAGACCAAGGGGGAAACCAAGGAATTATTTCTCAAGCAACTGCTATGAGCTCACCCTTTATCCCCCTGTGAAGTATAAAAAAAGAAATAGAAGGTGCTGTCTTTGAAGATCTTAGTATTCTACCTATGGCCACTGAAGAGGTCTAGAGGCTTGGGAGTGCTGCTGGGAACCCCCAAGATTGTGATGCCAGGCCCTGCCTGAAAGAATTCAACTCAAGTCTAGAGAAAAAGTTTTATTAGTGATAAATCACATAGGCCAGGTGACGCCTGTAAGGACGAGTAGGCATGAGAAAGTCTCAGCCTTTTGTGCATGAGATTTTCAGCATCTGAATGGGGGCCAGAGTAGATCTTATAAAGTAACTTTGGGTGGCCAGACCAGGGGGCTAGGAAAAGGGTCCAGGTAGGAATTCCAATTGGAAGGTCTGAGAGATTGAATAGACAATGGGAATAGATAATGAAGGGAACTGGAAGGCATCTGCATAAGATCAAAAAGGTGGGGCTAGGGCTTTCAAAGGGAGATAAGGGGGAGTCAACAAGGGAAGTCAATAAGGAACGATAAGGGCTTTCTGGGGCCCATAGACAAAAGGGAGCCAGATTCTTTTTAGGGCAATGGGCAAAGGCACATCTGAGTAAGATTAAAAGGTAGGCTAAGGCTTTCAAAGAGAGATGGGAGGCTGGGGCCTGTAAACAAATGGGAGTCAGATTCCCTCTGGGGCAAGGGGCTAAGATCTTGGCTTAAGCCCCCCATCAGCCACCGTGTCAATGACTACCAGAGGCAGTGAGAAATTTGGGACAATTTCCATTTTCACAGACCTTATTTAGTTAACAATAGATACATTAGAGAAACAATATGGTAATACAAAGGTTCTCAAACTTTTTGGTTTCAGGGCTCCTTTATATTTCTAAAAATTGTTGAGGGCTCTTTTATACTCAAAAAAGAGTTTGTTTATTTGAGTTATATCTACCAATATTTACCATATTATAAATAAAACTGACAAAAATTTAACATATTTATTATTTTTAAAATAATATTAAATGTGTCAACATAAATATTTTATTAAAAATAATTATATTTTCTAAAACAAAAATATTAAAATAAAAATACCTTCACAGATAAATAAAATACAAGTAAGAATATAAGTGAACAGGAAAGATCCAAACAGGGTGGTTTGAAGAAATTGAAAGACAAAAAACAAAAACAATGCAAGTATTTATTAAGCACATCCAGGTGCTAAGTAGTAGGAATACAAATATAAGCTTTGCCCTCAAAGGGCTTACATTCTAATGAGAGATGACATGCTAAAGGAAGCTGAAAAGCAAGTGGGTTGGGTGGGAGAGAAAGGAACCTGAGAAGGGGCCACAACAGAGGAAGTCTGAAGTCCAAAGTACAGCCTGAAAAGGAATGGAGACATGACTGGTCTGGGAGCCATCGTTCAATGAATGTTCTGGGAGGAACCATTTAATCAGAGAGAGAGGCTGCAGGGATAGAGGGTATGTGTGTAAATTCCAGGTCTGGAGTGAGTTTCCAGGATGAAGAAGTTTCTGGGGAATGTAGAGGAAATCCAGGGTCCAGTCTAGAGAGGAATGAGGAGGGGATATCGCTTCTAGCTGAGGGCACCAGGAAAGGCTTTATGGAACAGGTGGCACCTGGCCTGCACTTTGAAGGAAGTGAGGGATTTCAACAGCTGGGGATGTCAGGAGGATCAAGTGGAGGCTTGGAAGACAGCAGTGAGCAAAAGTACTGAGTAGGGTAACTTTAATGACTTAGGTTGAGCTTTAGTCACCTCTCATTGAAATGGATTATTTTATGGTTTCTGTGGCAGGCAGCTAAAAGTCCTTCCCTTCGAATAAATATCAGTATAGGATGACTTTTGCTTCTTATGTTTTGTATATAGGCCCAAGTACCCTACTTTCCAAAATAATTGGCTTTGCTGAGGCCTCCTTATCTCTGCATTTATTTCAGCTCCTCTCCCAGAGCTGCACACGTTTATATTTTCTCTGCATATGTTCTTGCCATATGTCCGCCTAGCAGAACAGTAATGTCAATAAGCATCACATTTTTTTTTATTAATTCTCTCAATAGATTATCTGGTCTGTTGGCCAGAGTCTATTTGAGGTTGTGGCTCCATCCCAAGATATCTCAGAGCAACTCTTTTCCAGTACATTCTTGAGCTTGTAAATATAATAAACTATTTTTCTTCAAATGCTCTAATATGTGTCATCCATTCTAGTGAAACTAGTCTGCTCACTGTCCCCAGATATATTATATTCATTCCTTCTTCTATGCCTTTCCTCATGCTTCTATCCTGCCTTGAAGCCCCTCATCTTTCACTTCTTCTATCGAAATCCTGGTGAGCCTTGAAGGCCCAGCTGAAGTCTCAACCCCTCCACAAAGCCTTCCCTTACTACCCTTAGATTACTCAATCTCTTCCATGCCTGCCTTTATGTGGTTCTATACCACATATTTGGGCATTTACAAGGATGATACTAAAAGGAATTGTCCCAATCAGCAGTTTCTCCATGATGACTTTAATACACTACTACCAAAGCCCACTGTGATGTCATCAGACTAATCACCCATGGTGCTTATAGACTCAAGACTTGGCTCAAGGGGCAGCTAGGTGGCACATTGGATAGAGCACTGGCCCTGAAGTCAGGAGGACTTGAGTTCAAATCCAGCTTCAGACCAAACATTTGATACTTACTAGCTGTGTGACCCTGGGCAAGTCACTCAACCCCAATTGCCCTAAAAAAAAAAAAGACTTGGCTCATGGATTTGAGTTGTTCAACAAGTCCAAGCTCTTCATTTTTTAGATAAAAAAAATTGGTCCAGAGACCTTGGGCAGGTCATACAGGCAGTAAGTGGCAGAGTTGCTGTTTGAACTCAGATCTTCTGACTAGAATTTCTATGCCCTTTTTACTGTACCATGCTAACAAGATAAATTGAATCATCACAGAAAAATATTTCCTATATGATTATTTCACTTAATACACATTTTAAATAAAATTTTTTTTTGCTAAACCAATTAATGGTGTGAGGTAGGGTGTGTGTGCGATTATATTCTGTCTTATACTGCTTTATGCCTTAAGTGTTATCCTCTATAGAAACAGGATGCTCTAGTGCAGTGATTCCCCAAGCAAAAGGCTGAAGGCTGAAGACCTCTAGCTTCTATAGAGTCTCTGTGGAATAAGGACTTCATGGAGTAAGAACCCCATAGAACCCAGAGATCTCAGCCTTCAGCCTTTCAGAACTTATTCTGTGAATCCATATGTACACGCAAGACAGACTGTCATTTTGATCTCTATTCAGCTCTAACAAAATATGTAGTGTGACTCAATATGTGTAATAACTAAGTGAACATGCCTTCTGTAGATTGAGTATTGTCTCCCTCATGTATGTATTGCTGTTTCCAAGTACATGTAGAAATTTTGATTAATAAAATAAAAATTTAAAGATATTACTAAATCACAGTAGCTTTTTGTCATCATTGATTTTCTCAATAATTGATATTAATAGTACAACTGATTCCATGTGGGATGCTCAGAATACTTTTCTAAATTTAAAAATTAATCCCTATATTCAAATGGGATAGGAGACACTGGTGCAATTGAGAAATCACTGAACTTGGAATCAGAAGACCTGGGGCTAAGTCCTAAGTATGATACTTCCTAGCTATATGACTTCCTATATGACAATGGACAAGTCACTTAACTTGTCTGTGCCAAAGTTTTCCCATTTTCATGATACTGCTCTTTCCTAGTTCTCCAACTACCTGTCTAACTGTTCCTTCTCAGTCTCCTTTCCTGGATCATCACCCACATCATACCCATGTCTGTGAGTTTTCCCCAAGGTTCTATCCTAGCCCCTCTTCTTTGAATCTACACTCCCTCTCACTTAGTGGATTCTTCAACTCCCAGAGAGTCAATTACAATTTCTATGAATGTGATTCCTATATTTATCTATTTTGGTATGTATGTATACATGTATGCACATGTAAATATATGTGTATATATACATATACTCTTTGGCTTTCTCTTGAGGTTTAAAGTCACATGATCAACTACCAAAATTGGACATTTCAAACTTTTTTAAGGTGTAGACACCTCAAACTCAACAAGTCCAAAATAGGATTTATTATGTTTTCTTCCAAATCCTTCTCTTTTAAATTTCCCTTTTACTGTCTCCCAGATTTGCAGTTTTAATGTCATCCTTGGCTCCTCATTTTCACTCACCCTATATATCTAATCATTTGTCAAATCTCTTCTGTTTCCACAATATGTGTCCTCCTCTTCACTCACATGTCCACCATTCTAATTTAATCCCTCATCACCTCTTTCTTGAACTATTATAATGGCCTCCTAGTTGGTCTTGTGTGGGGTACAAAGACCCTTACCAATAAATTGGAGACTCAGAGATATTAGCAAAAAGAATAGTTCATTTATTGGCTTTCTCGAGAAAGGCTCCCTCAGAGCACCCACAAGATGGCACTGACCTAAGAGAGAGAGAGAGAGAGAGCTTGTGTTCAGCTCTGAGAATTATAGAGATCCTAACCGCAATCCCCTTCTCCCTAGCCCCCTTCCTCAAGGCTCATTGGTGCAAGCTCTGAGGGTACAATCTTATTCGTGACAATCTACTTCCATCAACAGAGAATAAAGACAGTTTCACAAAATTGCCTGGAGACAAGAAGGGAGGGAAGTTTTTGAAAGGGTAAGCAGCTCAAGAGGGGGAGGGATGCTACTTTTCCCTGCTATGTGCCTAAAAACAAGTATGGGGAGAGGGAAAGGCCTAGTACAGTATAGGATGTGTTGCAAGGCATATTTTACTGATTGTTAATGTTTCAACTGAACAAGAAACAATTAACCCTCT